AAACAATATACTAAAGAGGAATACTATTATTTTTCTACTTTTTGTTATATTTTTATTTTTGAAATATAATATTCATTCTTATTCAAATACCTTATAATAGTTTTTTTTTAATATAAATATGTTTTCGGGCTGGTTACACGATACAAGTGGTAGGTAATGTAACATTCATTTTTAACTGTATACCTAATATATTTTTAGACGACTACAAAATAAAGTCCAAATTCAGGTTAGGTATTGAGGTATTGAGACAGATATTAAATAATTGCATGATGATCATTCTCTAAAGAATCTTAACATACTAAGATTTTCCTTATGAATCTCTATTTAGTTTAAGTATATTATTTTATTTAATAGTTATGTATATTTTCAATTTTTGTTTATTTTAGGAAGTGCAGTTTTTAGCCCTAATACTAAACTCAATAAATTTATTGTAATAGACATTAATGTTATGGAATACCTATAAATGCCAACATGTTCCCACACATATCAAATAAAAAGTAAGAAGTTAATATATTTTGTTAAAAATATTTATAATTTGATTTAATTTGACTTGATTAGTTACAATATATATATATTTAAAGTGTAGTACTGCATTGAATAAATTATTCAATTGAGTAGTTGATATGTATGGGGATTTGTAATTGTATAATTCGGGTAAAGAATCATCCCCACGATCTGAAGCCATACAGCTTTACAAAAAATAAAACTTAAAAAAACTGACAAAAATTATTTATTATAAATAATAAGTCTCATAAATATTCATAACAGAATAGTAGTCAAATTTGATTTATTTTAACTTTTACATTTTAAATTAATTATTATGTACTTTAAATAATCTCTAATAAACAAATTTATTATAGGTAGTTGTATTGCTTAGTTAAATGTATACAAATACACTAATTAGAAATCATTTTAATTTTAAATGTTCATAGATTATTTATTGATATAAAGATGGTCATAATAAATTATTATATTATTACAAATTATAAATTAGTTAAAATATGGATGTATGATAAAATCCACACAGTCATTCTGTTAATACCGTCATTTGATTTTTACCTTTGATAAATATACACTAGGTGATTATTTTATTATGAACCAATCGTTAGTGCATAAAAAGTTTAAAAGTTGAGATGAGCTGTGTATTGGACCAACATTTTGTGGCGTAATCTCGTTCTACTCCAGTCGGCTCTTCTAAACTTAAAATACTTGTAACTCATAAGTCATAACTCATAATCTACTCGTCCTAAATTCGATTTTGTGTATCAAAATACTTGGAAAAATATTCTGCTTTGGAATATGAAAATAAAACTGTATGTTGTCATTGTTAAAAATTATTCTTTTTTAAAATAATAAGTTCTCAATGATAAAAGAATCACCCGGTATAATATTTAATTGTGTATGTTTAGTTACAAATGTATTTATTTTTGTTCTTAACGTCATGTTCCTGAAATTTTTTATAATAATATATTGTGTAATTTTTATTAAGATTTGTTTTTCAATGAATATTTTTACATTTCTAAATATAATTTTTGTTGTGATTTCATTTATTGCGTAAAGGTGCAGTTTTTTTATTTTCAGTTTGATGCCAGAGACTGAATGACAGAAACAATCACATTTTTTTTAATTTTGTTTCTTTTGTGGTTTTCGCATTTTTATTACCTATTTAAAGATATCTATGGTTTTTATTTGTAAATTATAAAATAAAATTACTTGATTCATGATTTAAGTGGCCCGTATTTTATTTTTAAGCAAATCACTTATGAGTCAACTACAATATGACACTTACCTTTTATAACTAGGTTCCTATTGCACTACGGTTCTATTATAGCCCTACAAATCACTTATATGATAGAACATTAAAAAGGGAAACATGGACACTGTACTATTATAAATTATAATATTATATAGATTATAATATATAATATAAATTAATCTGAAGTCATAAACTCATAACTAATTATATTAAATGTGTTATAATCAGGGCTTGCATTTGAAAAAAAAAATCCGTTTTACGTTATTTACAATTAAAACGTTACACAATGTTTGCGTTTATCGTTAATCAGAATTAAAACGTTACCCAAATTTCCGTTTATCGTTATTCAGAATTAAAACGTTATCCAAGTTTTGCATTTATCGTTATTTAGAATAAACTTTAACCACGTTTATTATACAATCTACTGCATTTAAGGTATTTTTGCTAAGGAAACAAAAAATTCGCCTTAAAATAACGAATAGGTATGATATAATAAACTCATTTTTCAAATGTTGTTTTTACTGCCTTTTGGCTTAGGAGGGCAGTATAGACGTGTTCTATTTCCAACGTACCGATTAATCTAGTGAAGAGATAAGAATTCTGAAAACAGATTTGAATTTGTCGTCAAGTATACTTTTCCACATTTTTGATAGTATCCCCCCAAAATCATAAAAACGATATTTTAAAAAGAGTAATTAAAAAAATTACATATTTCAATTTTTGGAGAAGTTTAAATCAAAAAATCAAAAATGTGGGAAAGTCGATCTCAAGAATACTTGACGACAAATTCAAATCTGTTTTCACTTTTCAGAATTCTTATCGCTTCACTAGATCGGTACGTTGGAAATAGAACACGTCTATAATCCTATGTTGCACGTGTGTTAGACAAAGACAGAAAATCGCCCCATATTAGACGCGGCGGCGGCACAATAATAATATTGTTGGTCCGTGGGGTTCATCTGGTGATCGGGTTGATCTGGTGGGTAAAAAATTAAAACGCTCCAAAACATACGAACTAAAATCTAAAAACAAGGTGCAGAGTACCAGGAACTCATGGCCTAATCGTAACTTTTCTTCAGTTTCGGCGGCGGCGGCGGCGGCGGCTCGGCGGCGGCTCGACGGTGGCTCGACGGCTGTTGTGACGACACGCAGCAGCAGTACCATTGCAGTACGGCAATCACGATCATAGCATACGTTCCTGGTACATTCTGTTACATTATAGAAAATATCGTTTTATTCGTTTATACAACGTTACTTAGTACAAAATATACAAATATATCGTTTTAATACATCATCCAAATAACTCTCATTAGATCACCTTAGGTGCTATAAAAAAATGAATAATTTAATTTGTATAGGTACCAATATTAAACCCATATTCACGGAAATCACTGAGGGAATAAATTTGCCATATAAATAAATGCAAATAGAATTCAATAGGTAGTAAATATAATAAA